TGGCAGAATGGGGTTGGACTGGATGATGGCCCAGGAGGTCTCTTCCAACTCTTTGATTCTAGGATTCTATATCCCAGCACTCAGAAACTGGTTTTGTTTTCCTTGACTGCCTCTCGCCCTTATCTCACAAAGCCTTGTAGAACGGCAAAGGCTTTGGCTGAGCTGTCTGTTTTGGCTAAATTCCAGCTGTCTGTTTATGTGCTTATTATCTATCTGCTCATTAGTTTCTCCAGGTTGTTTTCAAATATTGGGAACTCTCTGGGACAGGGAGTAAACTATCATCACTATTCCCTGTAGGAACATTCTCATGGGAAACTACGCTTTGAACTGGTGTCCCTATGTCATTTTCTCTGCATTAATATCATTGACCAAACCATCTCCATCTTGATTATTCATAATTTATTGATTTTGATATGTATTTTACTGTGTTTACTTGTAGGTATCAAATGTGTGCCAGCTGGAATCCGCCTTGAGTCGTCCCCCCCAGGGTGTTGAGAGGGGTGGGGTAAAAATGCCCAAAATAAATCAATCAATAAATAGAGTTATTTATGAATGTATTGGGAATATCTTGGATTTAAGCCCCACCTTTCTCTCAGGGTGGGCTTCAGGGGTGGCTAAGCTTGCTATCTGGAGTCATGGTTAGTTAAGAAATGTTAAGTATGCTTTGACCAATGCATACACCTTTGGTAGTAATGGGGGAATCCCTCTCTCTCGCACCAAAGGCAGACCCAGCTGCTGGAGGACCTGTACCGGGCCTACTACAACATGGGCAACATCCACCTGCGGGAGGGCCAGCATTCCAAGGCCATGCGTTGCCTGGAGCGGGCGCGGGAGTGTGCCTGCAAGATGAAGGAGAAGCACATGGAGAGCGAATGCTGCGCTGGGATTGCACAAGTAAGCAGGAAGCAGAGCCTGGGTTGTTTCATTCAATCAGAAATCATAACTGGGATTGGATAGCATGAGTAAGAGCAACGATTGAATACACCGGGACTGGGGCGCAGCTGGCTAAGAGTCAACTGCATTAAGATCACTAAGATCATTAAGTTTGAAGCCAGCCCGGATTGGAGTGAGCTTCCTACCAAATTTGTGTAGCTTGCTGTTGACCTTTGCAGCCTGAAAGACAATTGCATCTGTCAAGTAGGAAATTTAGGTACCGCTTATGCGGAGAGGCTAATTTAACTAATTTACGAGGCCATAAAAATCTCCAGCAAGCATGCAAAGAATGAGGAAGTACTTTATCAGTGTTACATGTGGTCAATGAAGGGACAGCTCTCCTGGTGGCCAGAATACCCTCAAGAAAAAAAAAGGTGAAATGTCAAATAGCCTCTGAGTGTCTGTCTATATATGTTATGTGTCTATGGCATTGAATGTTTGCCATGTATATGTACATTGTAATCCGCCCTGAGTCCATCCCCTGCGGGGTGAGAAGGGCGGAATATAAATACTGTAAATAAATAAATAATAAATTGACACCCGGCCTCAGCTGAACCTATATCAGGTTGCTCCCCCATATTTCAATCCAACATATTTATTTATCTATCTATCGTGTCAGGAGCAAACCAAACTGTTGTATTGCATTTTTTAACAAACAAATATACAAAACACAAAGTTTGCAAGCTTGGTAGTTGATTCGATGTGCTTTGACCAGTAGCTGGCCACTTGGAGTGCCTCTGGTGTTGCTATAAGAAGGTCTCCCATTGTGCATGTGGTGGGGCTCAGGTTGCATTGCACCAGGTGGTCAGTGGTTAGTTCTTCTCCGCACTCGCATCTCGTGGACTCCACTTTGTGGCCCCATTTCTTGAGGTTGGCTCTGCATCTCGTGGTGCCAGAGCGCAGTCTGTTCAGCGCCTTCCAAGTCGCCCAGTCTTCTGTGTGCCCAGGAGGGAGTCTCTCATTGAGTATCAGCCATGGCTTGAGGTTCTGGGTTTGAGCCTGCCACTTTTGGACTCTCGCTTGCTGAGGTGTCCAGCGAGTGTCTCTGTAGATCTTAGAAAACTATGTCTTGATTTAAGTCATTGATGTGCTGGCTGATACCCAAACAAGGGATGAGCTGGAGATGTCTCTGCCTTGGTCCTTTCACTGTTGGCTGCTACTTCCCGGCGGATGTCAGGTGGTGCAATACCGGCTAAGCAGTGTAATTTCTCCAGTGGTGTAGGGCGCAGACACCCCTTGATAATGCGGCATGTCTCATTGAGAGCCACATCCACTGTTTTAGCGTGGTGAGATGTGTTCCACACTGGGCATGCGTACTCAGCAGCAGAGTAGCGTAGCGCAAGGGCAGATGCCTTCACTGTATCTGGTTGTGATCCCCAGGTTGTGCCAGTTAGCTTTTGTATGATATTGTTTCTAGCACCCACTTTTTGCTTGATGTTCAGGCAATGCTTCTTGTAGGTCAGAGCACGGTCCAGAGTGACTCCCAGGTATTTGGGTGCGCTGCAATGCTCCAGTGGGATTCCTTCCCAGGTGATCCTCAGAGCTCGGGATGCTTGTCTGTTCTTCAGGTGAAAGGCACACGTCTGTGTTTTAGATGGATTAGGGATCAGCTGGTTTTCCCTGTAATAGGCAGTAAGAGCACCTAGAGCTTCGGAGAGCTTCTGTTCTACCGTCTCAAACTCCCTGCTTGAGCGGTGATGGCACGATCATCAGCATAGATGAAGCTCTACGTCCCTTCTGGCAGTGGCTGGTCATTTGTGTAGATGTTGAACATGGATGGAGCAAGCACGCTCCCTTGAGGCAGGCCGTTCTTCTGTTTCCGCCATCTGCTTCTCTGGCCCTGGAACTCAACAAAAAGGCTCCTGTTTTGTAGCAGGTTTCCTATGAGGCCGGTGAGATGGTCGTCCTTTGTGATATTATACATTTTTCTCAGGAGGAGGCGGTGGTTCATAGTACCATAAGCCGCTGACAGATCTATGAAGACAGCTGCTGTGATCTGCTGCCTTTCAAAGCCATCTTCTATGTGCGGGGTGAGAAGGGCGGGATATAAATACTGTCAATAAATAAATAATAAATTGACACTCAGCCTTAGCTGAACTCATATCAGGTTGCTCCCCCATATTTCTTCTTTTCAGATTCAATCCAGCTGAAATACGATATAGGTCAAATAAAATGTCCCATAGTTAGCCTAGACCCCCCCCCCCCCAAATAATGGGTTGATGATAGAACTGACAATAGCAACTAAGGGAACTGGACATGGAGGACAGAAACCAGGGAGGGGACTAGAGTAACCATCTTGCACTGTTTGAAGGATGCAGCAGCCTTATTTTCTGCAGCCTCAGAGTTCAAATGACAACAAAGATGGTGCGTACAAAAGATCACAAGAACGTCCTGATGATAAAAACTGCTGGGCACTGGAAAAGGTGGTGAGGTCCAGGGCTGGCCTTGACATGACATGGGTGATGCCTGGCTCGAGAACAGTACGTGTGAAAAAGATCTTGGAGTCCTCGTGGACAACAAGTTAAACATGAGCCAGGAATGTGATGTGGCGGCAAAAAAAGCCAATGGGATTTTGGCCTGCATCAAGAGGAGCATAGTGTCTCGATCTAGGGAAGTAATGCTACCCCTCTATTCCGCTTTGGTTAGACCACACCTGGAATATTGTGTCCAATTCTGGGCACCACAATTCAAGAGAGATATTGACAAGCTGGAATGTGTCCAGAGGAGGGTGACTAAAATGATCAAGGGTCTGGAAAACAAGCCCTATGAGGAGCGGCTTACGGAACTGGGCATGTTTAGCCTGAAGAAGAGAAGGCTGAGAGGGGATATGATAGCCATGTATAAATATGTGAGAGGAAGCCACAGGGAGGAGGGAGCAAGCTTGTTTTCTGCTTCCCTGGAGACTAGGACGCGGAACAATGGCTTCAAACTACAAGAGAGGAGATTCCATCTGAACATGAGGAAGAACTTCCTGACTGTGAGAGCCGTTCAGCAGTGGAACTCTCTGCCCCGGAGTGTGGTGGAGGCTCCTTCTTTGGAAGCTTTTAAGCAGAGGCTGGATGGCCATTTGTCAGGGGTGGTTTGAATGCAATATTCCTGCTTCTTGGCAGGGGGTTGGACTGGATGGCCCATGAGGTCTCTTCCAACTCTTTGATTCTATGATTCTATGTTGCATCAGTCCAGGTGCTGCTGAGCTTGGGGGACTTTGTGGCGGCCAAGCGGTCCCTGAAGAAGGCCTACCGGATGGGCTCCCAGCAGCCCCAGCAGCGAGAGAGCGTCTGCCACAACCTGCGCTACGGTGAGAGATTGAATGCGTGGACATCTTTAAGGGAATAGTAATAAGTTTTTGATTGAGTTTCCGAATGACAATGAAAGTGGGGGAACATATAGTTGGCACAGGAAAGTAGGAAACTGTAGATTGTAGATCCACGAAAGAAAAGAGAAAAAACAAACAAACAAATATGCAGGTATATCTCCAGTCGTCTTTATCTCCAGTCATCAAGTCTCTTATGTTTTATTAATTTATTTATTTATTTATTTATTTACTTTGCTTATATACCGCTGTATCTCAAGCCCGAAGGCGACTCACAGCGGTTCACAAACAGTAGAAAACAGTAGAAACAGCAGTGGTTCCATACAACATATAACAATTGACTTAACACATTATCCATAAATTACCAAGAAGCAATTACAATGCACAATTATTACAAAAAACAACCGTACCCAATCTTCTCATCATCCAAGCGTAGTCCAGGTTCGTCGTCCATTGTTCCATTCCTATATTCCATTACCAGATTGCACTAAATTACTCAAACGCCTGCACAAACATCCAGGTCTTCACCTTTTTGCGGAATACCATTAGAGATGGTGCTAGTCTAATGTCCGTAGGAAGGGCGTTCCACAGCCGAGGAGCCACCACCGAGAAGGCCCTATCTCTCGTCCCCGCCAGCCGAGCTTGAAGCAGGGAGCAGGCAGGGCGGGGCGGGGACTTGAGGGGAGAGGCAGGGTCTTCCCGGGGAAGATCTCAAAGTCCTTGGTGGGAGGTTCATAGGCTAGATGATTGCGGGGTCGGGATGGATAGGTATCTTGGGACGGCACGGAACGGGGAAGGCAGGGAATGGGGGGGCGAAACGTGTAGGGCTTTTTTTTTTCTTCTTTTTTTTTTTTTTGGTCTTTTTTTTTAAGTCTTTAAAGGGCAACGCCCCAAGCAAGACTTTTGAATTCGAGTCCCGGGTTAAGTATATCAGCAGTATAGGCAGATAACCTAGGTGGTAGCAGTAGCAGCCTATATGGGGGTGCAGTATTGGTAGATATAGCAAGTTTAGCAGTAGGGTAGCAGAGATTTACTTATTTGTAGGCAGATAGCAGATGATCTTCAGCAGATCAGAGGGATTTAGGGCTTGTAAACCAACGCCAGCACTTTGAATTCAGCCCGGTAGCAGATCGGTAGCCAGTGGAGTTGGCGCAACAGGGGGGTTGTATGCTCCCTGCGCTCCGCTCCTGTTAAAATCATGGCTGCCGAGCGTTGGACTAGTTGGAGCTTCCGAGCTGTCTTCAAAGGCAACCCCAAGTAGAGAGCGTTGCAGTAGTCTAAACGGGATGTAACCAGAGCGTGGACTACCGTGGCCAAGTCAGACTTGGTTTCTTTCCATAATGTTGAAATTGTGGATTTCTTTCCATAATCTCTCTTCTTTCTTTTTTTTATTTCAAAGAAGTTTGGGATATAACATCGAAAGAGTGAGAACAATTTTTAGATAGGAAAGTTTGAGAAACAAGGGGAGATACCTAATACCAAAGTTGAAAAGCTAAAAAGAAGAAAACAGAAGGTTTAAAAAATTAATAAAATAAAATAAAATTGACTTCCTTCTATTCATCGGTGGTTGTAATGTCATGTCATGGTAATTGGCCTCTCAAAAGGGCTCTATATGGCACTGTACTAAACTTATGAATTCTTTGTATTGTCGAAGGTTTTCATGGCCGGAATCAGTGGGTTGTTGTAGGTTTTTCCGGGCTATATGGCCATGTCCTAGAGGCATTCTCTCCTGACGTTTCGCCTGCATCTATGGCAAGCATCCTCAGAGGGAGTGAGGTCTGTTGGAACTAGGAAAAATGGTTTATATATCTGTGGAATGACCAGGGCGGGACAAAGGACTCTTGTCTGCTGGAGCTAGGTGTGAATGTTTCAACTGACCACCTTGATTAGCATTTGATTGCCTGGCAGTGCCTGGAGCAAACTTTTGTTGAGAGGTAATTAGAAATCCCTGTTTGTTTCCTCTCTGTTGTTGTGCTGTTCTAATTTTAGAGTTTTTTAATGCTAGATTTTGTTCATTTTCATGGTCTCCTCCTTTCTGTTGAAATTGTACACATGCTTGTGGGTTTCAAAGGCTTCTCTGTGTAGTCTGACATGGTGGTTGTTGGTGTGGTCCAGCATTTCTGTGTTCTCAAATAAAATGCTGTGTCCAGGTTGGTTCATCAGGTGCTCTGCTATGGCTGACTTCTCTGGTTGAAGGAGTCTGCAGTGCCTTTCCTGTTCCTTGATTCAGGTTTAGGCAATGCTGCTGCGTTTGGTGGTCCCTATATAGACCACCACGTAGACCACCATGTCAGACTACACAGAGAAGCCATTGAAATCCACAAACATGTGGACAATTTCAACAGAAAGGAGGAAACCATGAAGATGAACAAAATCTGGTTGCCAGTATTAAAAAACTCTAAAATTATAACAGCAGAAAGGAAACAAACAGGGACATCTAATTACCTCTCAACAAAAGATTGCTCCAGGCACTGTCAGGCCATTACATGCTAATCAAGGCGATCAGTTGAAACATTCACACCTAGCTCCAGCTCTAGCTGTTGCAACCCTAGGTGACAGCAGGATTGAGGAGAAACAACTGGAAAAGCTGACACGATATGAGGATTTAAAGATCAAACTGCAAAGACTCTGGCACAAGCCAGTAAAGGTGGTCCCAGTGGTGATCAGCACACTGGGTGCAGTGCCTAAAGACCTTGGCCTGCACTTAAACACAATTGGCGCTGACAAGATTACCATCTGCCAGCTGCAGAAGGCCACCTTACTGGGATCTGCACGCATTATTTGCTGATACATCATACAGTCCTAGACACTTGGGAAGTGTCCGACGTGTGATCCAGTACAACAGCCAGCAGAGTGTCTGCTGTGGACTCATCTTGTTGTGATTCAAATAATAATAATATATTTATATTCTGCTCTATCTCCCCAAAGGGACACAGGGCGGATTCCAAACATAAAAGGCAAACATTCAATGCCCAAATACAACAACAACATATCCAAACTAACAACATTTACACAACCTAACATATAAATGCGAATTATAACTTAACAAACTAAAATTGAATAAAAAGCTCAGCCTGTTACAACAGACATAAGACAAAGACAACGTTCTGCTGGCCCATTTATGTTGGATAAGTGAGAATCTACTGTAGTAGAAGGGCTGCTCACTGACATGCTTTTGCTCCGCAGTCTCCAAGGTGAGTCGCCTGCAGCAGGCCCTGGAAGAAGCGGAGACATCCTGCGACCGGGGGGCGGCTCTGGCCCTGAGTGAGCAGCTGGGAGACCTCTTCTCCAAGGCGGGGGATTACCAGCGCTCCCTGGAGGCCTACAAGAAGCAGGTGAGGATGCCCCAAGACTCTGCTGCAGGTGGAGGATCACTTCTCCTCCTACTCCTTCCTCCTTCCTTTTCTTCTTCCTCTTCTTTGTACTTCTTGTCAGGAGAGGCCCTTCTCTCCATCCCACCATCATCACAGCCACAAGAGAGGACCTTCTCAGACCCCTTCTACACTGCCATATAATCCAGATTACATCAAGCGTTGCACTCTAGCCTTGAGAGCACCTTTCTACCCAGCACCACACAGAGTCCAGTAGTATGAGGGTTGAATGAAAAGTAATGCCTCCACCTCAACAGATGGCAATACTGGTATGTGGCAGGTCCTGGCTTGTTCAGTAGACTCTCCTCTACAGTTCCATTTTGGCGGGAAGCCTTAGCATTGAACGGTTGTGTTGTTAAAGTGAAAAGTAATGCCTCCATCTTCGTAACTCCTCAACAGATAGCAGTACTGGTATGCGGCAGGTACTGGCTTGTTCAGTAGACTCGCCTCTACAGTTCCATTTTGGCGGGAAGCCTTAGCATTGGATGATTGTGTTGTTAAAGTGAACTCCTCAACAGATGGCAGTATTGGTATGCGGCAGGTACTGGCTTGTTCAGTAGACTCTCCTCTACAGTTCCATTTTGGCGCGAAGCCTTAGCATTGAATGGTTGTGTTGTTAAAGTGAAAAGTAATGCCTCCACCTTAGTACCCCCTCAACAGATGGCAGTACTTCTATGGGGCAGGTACTGGCTTGTTCAGTAGACTCTCCTCTACAGTTCCATTTTGGCGGGAAGCCTTAGCATTGAACGGTTGTGTTGTTAAAGTGAAAAGTAATGCCTCCATCTTCGTAACTCCTCAACAGATGGCAGTACTGGTATGCGGCAGGTACTGGCCTGTTCAGTAGGCTCTCCTCTACAGTTCCATTTTGGTGGGAAGCCTTAGCATTGAACAGTTGTGTTGTTAAAGTGTGAAGTGTGGAACCCTGCACAGACAGTCGGTCAGTGCAACTTGAGCATCGTGCAGTCATTGAATTGTTGACAGCAGAAGGTGTCACCCCAAAAGAGATTCATCAGGGAATGCAAGCTGTTGATGGTGATTGTGTAGATGTGAGTACTATGCATCGTTGGGTGAGTAAGTTTAAAGATCTTGAAGTGGGAACATCTGACTTGCATTACAAACAAAGAGTTGGACGTCCTGTGAAAAGCAAAAGGTTGACAGATTGATTCAGGGTGATCATCGTATCATTCAGAGAGACATTTCAAGCATAATCGGCATTTCGCAAGAATGTGTGCGTCACATTATTGCTTTGCTTGGCTATTGGAAGATCTGTGCACGATGGGTACCCAGGATGCTGGTGCCTGAAATGAAAGTGCACAGACTTGAAACTTCAGAAACTGGATCTCACCACCGTACGACATCCTCCATACAGTCCAGATTTAGCACCGCCTGACTTCCATCTGTTCCTGATAAGGAAAGAAGAACTGCGGGGACATCATTACGCTTCTGATGAAGACGTCGAGAGAACTGTGAGACGTGGTTGCGGAAACAGAGTGTCGACTTCTTCTGTGACGGCTTCAGAAAGCCCGTTCGTTGTTGGCAGAAATGTATCCAATTGTCTGGTGATTATGTGGGAAAGTGAATAGTGGTTGTTAAAGAGCACATTCTAAGGATTATTTCTGCGTTTGATGTATTAAAATATTCCCATCCAAACCCAAGTAACAAAGGTGGAGGCATTACTTTTCATTCAACCCTATTTTAAGAATTTCAATCCATTGTCTGTTGATTTTTAATCCTTGTTATCTTGCTCTATTTAGTTGAAACTATATGACCAAACTTCTACTTTTAATGGCATTCCTCAGTCTCATTCATAAATCCATCTTTCTCTGATCTTGAAGGAAAATACATTGTTGTTGTTCTTGTTTATTTGTTCAGTCAAATAAATCTTGCCCTTGGTTGGCCCCTCTTCCTTTTTCCTTCCTTTTTCCCCAGCATCATTGTCTTCTCTAAGCTTTCCTTTCTTCTCATGATGTGGCCAAAGGACTTCATCTTTGCTTCTCATCTCCTTCCCTCCAATGAGCAGTCAGGCTTAATTTCCTGGAGGATGGACTGGTTGGATCTTCTTGCGATCCAAGGCACTTTCAAAATTGTGTTGACGAAGGTTTTCATGGCTGGAATCATTGGGTTGTTTTAAGTTTTTTGGGCTATCTGACCATGTTCCAGCAGCATTGTCTCCTGACATTTCACCTGCATCTATGGCACGCATCCTCAGAGGTGCAGGCGAAACATCAGGAGAAAATGCTTCTGGAACATGGCCAGATAGCCCAAAAAACTTACAACAAATACCACTCTCAGCATTTTTCTCCAGCATCACTTTTCCTTTTGCTCAGCCTTTGTTATGGTCCAGCTCTTGCATCCATGGGTTACTACAGGGAATACCATTGCTTTGACTATGCGGATCTTTGTTGCCAGTGTGATGTCTCTACTCTTCACTATTTGATCGAGGTTGGTCATTGTTCTTTTCCCAAGAAGGAAACGTCTACGTCTGCAGTAATACATAGTATGCACTTAATAAATCCAGTTTCTTTCTTTACATTCCATTTTATTATGTACTAGCCATCCCCTGCCATGTGTTGCTGTGGCCCACATGGAGGTTCTGTGTGGGAGGTTTGGCCCAATTCTATCGTTGGAGGGTTCAGAATGCTCCGTGATTGTAGGTGAACTATAAATTCCACCAACTACAACTCCCAAATGTCAAGATTCTATTTCCCCCAAACTCTACCAGTGTTTACATTTGGGCATATTGAGTATTCATGTAGAGTTTGGTCCAGATCCATCATTGTTTGAGTCCACAGTATTTTCCCGGTGCAATGCTCTCTGATCGTTTGGTTCAATTCCATTATTGGTGGAGTTCAGAATGCTCTTTGATTGTAGGTGAACTATAAATCCCAGCAACTACAACTCCCAAATGACAAAATCATTTTTTTGAGTGAAGGACATACATTGGGTGGTTAGGTGTCTTGTGTCCAAATTTGGTGTCAATTCCCCCAGTGGTTTTTGAGTTCTTTGATTCTATGATTCTGTTAATCCCACAAACGAACATTACATTTTTATTGATATAGATTTATTATTTAGAACATACACTATTCGCATTTTAAAACATGTACCAAAAAAAATGGTATGCTTTTTGGGGAGGCTGGAATAAATCAATAGTGAATTGAAATATTCATTTCAATGGGGAATTTGATTTGAGATAAGAGCCATTTGAGTTAAGAGCTTGGCCATAGAAGGAATTACACTCGTAAGTCGAGGTATCAATCACTGTACATGGAAATCCAGCTCAACATCCGTGTCAAATGGTCTCGTTCCAGCTGGGCTATGCTCAGGCCCTGAAGCGGCCGCCCCACGAACTGGCCGTGATCCACGTTTCTTTGGCGGCCACATTTGGGGACCTGAAAGACCACGCACAGGCTCTGCATCACTACCAGGAGGAACTATCCCTGCGGAAGGGGAACCCCTTGGAGGTAAGACAATCTCTCATTGGGCTGAGGGGTTCAAGACCAAGGAGAGGCGAGCTATGTTGGAGCTCAGCCTGTGATTGTGTTTAAAGACCAGGGTGCTTTAGATGTGGAGAGTGATGACAATGTGTTTCAAGATGGCAATGGTCTGGCCAATGATATTTATTTATTTATTTATTTATTTCACAGTTTTGTATACCGAGCTTCTCAACCTCGTTGAGGGACTCAGCCCGGTTTACAGACATAAAAACATATACATTCATTAAAATATCATATATCACAATTACAAAAACTTGAAAATAACACTATGTCTAAAACTACAGTGGTCAGTCGTCCTAATAAGATGGATCTACATCAACTTCCATCCAGGGTCCTATGGTGTTGTCTCATTCCTCGGAGGCCTGACTCCACAGCCACGTCTTCACCCGTTTCCTAAATGTTAGGATGGATGGGGCGGTTCTGGCCTCCAGAGGGAGAGAGTTCCAGAGTCACAGGGCCACCACTGAGAAGGCCCTGTCCTCGTCCCCACCAGGCGCGCTTGCAAGGCCGGTGGGACCGAGAGCAGGGCCTCTCCAGATGATCTTAGTAATCTTGATGGTTCGTAGGGGAGAATACGTTCGGAGAGGTAAACAGGGCTGGAGTCGTTTAGGGCTTTATAGGTCAACACCAGCACTTTGAATTGTGCTCGGAAGCTAATTGGCAGCCAGTGGAGCTTGCGTAACAGCGGAGTGGTGTGCTCCCTGTACCCAGCACCTGTTAGTAGTCTGGCTGCCGAGCGTTGGACTTGCTGCAGCTTCCAGGCAGTCTTCAAAGGCAACCCCACGTAGAGAGCGTTGCAGTGGTCTAAGCGGGATGTAACCAAAGCGTGTACTACCGTGGCCAAGTCATCCCTCCCAAGGTACGGACGCAGCTGGCGCACAAGTTTTAATTGTGAGAAAGCTCCCCTGACCACCGCTGAGACCTGGGGTTCCAGGCTCAGCGATGAATCCAGGAGAATTTATTTATTTATGTATTTCGTGTGCTTATACCCCGCCCTTCTCAACCCCCGAGGGGGGACTCAGGGCGGCTTACAAAAGGCACATCTTGGTGCCTACACAAATACAATAACATATAAAACCAGCAATTAAATAGTCAACAATTAAAACACTTAAAAACAACAGTATATCACACAATCAATAGCCAATCTCAGACACAGCGTTCACCAACTCAGCGTTCAACAACTCAGAGAACTCCCAGACTGCGTACCTGAGCTTTTAGGGGGAGTGTGACCCCGTCCAGCACAGGCTGTAACCCCGTACCCTGTTCGGTCTTACGACTGACTAGGAGGACCTCTGTCTTGTCTGGATTTAGTTTCAATCTGTTGTCCCTCATCCAGTCCGAGACAGCGGCCAAGCACCGGTTCATGACCTGAACAGCCTCCTTAGTGACAGGTGGAAAAGAGTGATAGAGTTGGACATGATCTGCGTACAGATGGCATCGCACCCCAAAACTCCGGATGATCTCTCCCAGCGGCTTCATGTAAATGTTAAACAACATAGGGGACAGTATTGAGTCCTGCGGGACTCCACAGTGCAATGGCCGAGGAGTCGAGCAGGAGTCCCCTAGTGACACCTTCTGGGAGCGACCCTCGAGAAAGGACCGGAGCCACTGCAAGGCTCCGGTCCGAGACCCATTCCCGCGAGGCGTCCTAGAAGGATACCGTGGTCGACGGTATTGAAGGCCGAAGAGAGGTCCAGTAGAACCAACAGGGACACACTCCCTTGATGCAGAGAATGACCAGGAGATTCCTGTTCAAAGTCTAGTTTCTCATGAGAATGTCCCTGAAGGGTGTGGGAATGATGGTGTGCTCCCTGAATTGCTACCAGAGAATTCCCATGTTTTGGAGCTTGAGAACAGCTCGGCACCTGGCCCAACTGCAGAAATTAATGAGCAACCAACCTCCCTCCACCCCAACACATTGATGTTTGCTATGTTTTCCATGTGCAGGAAGGGAAGACGTGGCTGAGCATTGCTCTGGCCAAGGAGGAGGCCAAAGAAAGCTACGAGGAGCTGGAGCCCTGCTTCCAAAAGGCCCTGCAATACGCCGAGAAGGCCTTTGACCCCAGGCTGCAGGTGAGTTTGGGAATATGAAACGGACAGAGGAGGCACTTCTTCTTTCAGAGGGTGATGATGAAAGAGGATGGAGAAAGGATTGACTCTTGGCAGAAGGGGTGCTCACCAAGCTTGGCTTCACGTTTGGAGCTTGACATCTACTGTCCCTCCTGCACACATTTGGCAGCATTCCTACTTCAGATATATCTGTTTGCAGATCTATCTCAACCTAGGGGTTGGGATCGCAAGCGGAGTTTCAGGGGGGTTGTCAAAGACCATCAGAAAGCACATATTCCTGGTGGTCTTAGGAACCCCTTTGACAAAGCAGGCTGAAGATCTCTCCACCCATCCTTCTCTTCCTTTTTGGAAACAGACAGGAAATCCTCCCACCTAAAGCCCTCCTCCTGCTGTGATTGGCTGGCCTCTCAGCCAAGGGGAGCGCTATTTGCCCTCCATGCTTGGAGTCTCCCCTAAATCACTGTCAATTCCTCCCAAATCTCTCCAGGATTTTCTGTTGGTCTTGGGGGTCTCTGTGTGTCAAGTCTGGCCCAGTTCTACCCTTGGTGGAGTTCAGAATGCTCTCTGACTGTAGGTGAACTAGAAATCCCAGAAACTACAACTTACAAATATCAAGGTCTATTTTCCCCAAAGTCCACCAATGTTCACATTTGGGCATATTGAGTATTCATGCCAAGTTTGGTCCAGATCCATCATTGTTTGAGCTTGGCCCAATTCTACCCTTGGTGGGGTTCAGAATGCTTTTTGATTGTAGGTGAACTATAAATCCCAGCAACTACAACTCCCAATTGTCAAGGTCTATTGTCCCCAAACTCTACGAGTGTTCACATTTGGGCATATTGAGTATCATGCCAAGTTTGGTCCAGATCCATCATTGTTTGAGTCCAGAATGCTCTCTGGATGTAGGTGAACTACAACTCCAAAAATCAAGGTCAATGCCCACCAAATCCTTCCAGTATTTTCTGTTTGTCATGGGAGATGTGTATGGCAATTCTGTTTCAATCCCATCATTGGTGGGGTTCAGAATGCTCTCTGATTGTAGGTGAACCATAAATCCCAGCAACTACAACTCCCAATTGTCAAGGTCTATTGTCCCCAAACTCCACCAGTGTTCACATTTGGGCATATTGAGTATCATGCCAAGTTTGGCCCAGATCCATCATTGTTTGAGTTTGGCCCAATTCTATCATTGGTGGGGTTCAGAATGCTTTTTTGATTGTAGGTGAACTATAAATCCCAGCAACTACAACAATATCAAGGTCTATTTTCCCCAAACTCCACCAGTGTTCACATTTGGGCCTCTTGAAGATTCGTGCCAAGTTTGGTCCAGAATGATCATTGTTTAAGTTTGCAGTGCTATCTTGATATAGGTGAACTGCAACTCCAAAACTCAAGTTCAATGTCCACCAAACCCTTCCAGTATTTTCTGTTGGTCATGGGAGTTCTGTGTGCCAAGTTTGGTTCAATTCCATTGTTGATGGAGTTCAGAATTTATTTATTTATTTATTTATTTATTTATTTATTTATTTACAGCTTGTATATTCCGCCCTTCTCACCCCGCAGGGGACTCAGGGCGGATTACAGTGTACACATATATGGCAAACATTCAATGCCAATTTTTGACATACAAACATATACAGACATAGACAGAGGCTATTTAACTTTTTCTGGCCGCGAAGGGAACTGTCGCTTTCATCGTCCATCTGCGACGCTGATGAAGCACTTCCGCATTCCCCGCATGCTTCCCCGCTGGAATGCTTTGCTGGAGTCTTCTTTATGGCCTCATAAATCAGTTAATTTAGCCTCCCCACACTTTAAGGTGGTACCTTATTTTCCTACTTGACAGATGCAACTGTCTTTCGGCTTGCAAAGGTCGACAACAGGCTACACACAATTGGTTGGAAACCCACTCCAACCTGGGCTGGCTTCGAACTCATGACCGTTTTGGTCAGAGTGATCTTAATGCAACTGACACTCAGTCTGCTGCGCCACAATCCCAGTGCAATGCTCTCTGATCGTTTGGTTCAGTTCCATCATTGGTGGAGTTCAAAATGCTCTTTGATTGTAGGTGAACTATAAATCCCAGCAACTACAACTCCCAAATGACAAAGTCAAACTCCCCCAACCCCACCAGTATTCAAATTTGGGCATATTGGGTATTTGTGCCAAATTTGGTCCAGTGATTGAAAATACATCCTGCATATCAGATGTTTACATGACGATTCATAACAGGAGCAAAATTGCAGTTGTGAAGTAGCAACGAAAATAATATTCTGGTTGGGGGTCACCACAACATGAGGAACTGTACTAAGGGGTCGTGGCATTAGGAAGGTTGAGAATGTGTTAGAGGTTGTGAAGGTTGTGAAGAGTTTCCTAGACAATCAGGTGTGGGCAGGATTGGAGATCCAATTGTGCTTGACCCTTTGGTTCCCCATTTCCCAGCATCAGATCCTGCAGCACTTGCATGCTTGTCAGCAGAGAGCGGGGCGCCCCGAAGCAACAGACACAATGGAGAGGCTGCAGGACCTCCGGCACATGGAGGGCTGGCGTTCCGATGGGGAGATCAGCGAGGAGGAGGAAGAGGAGGAAAGCAGCGAGCCCCTCGTAGAAAGCGACCTGGAGCTTTCCGATAGCGGTAAGCGTGACGGGATGGCGATAGGTGCTATCCTCGGGAGTATTGGTGCTGCCAGAGGGTTACCTATAGCGTAGCAAAGAAAACAGTTCTGGGTAAACTTCACTCTCAAGACACACAGGTCCACAGTTGCCAAAGTAGAACAATACCAAGCATGTATTTCACAGCTTGTACACCTTATAGTAACACCAGAGGCACTCCAAGTGGCCAGTTTCTGGTCAAAGGACATTTAATCAACTACCAAGCTTTTAAACTCTGTGTTTTGTTTATTTTCTTGTTAAAAGTACAATACATCTGTTTGGCTTGCTCCTGACACAATAAGTAAATAAATAAACAGCGTGTACAGGATACAATAGGCAAAAATCTCCAAAAAACATAAGTATGTTGTGTTCACAATAGAATCCTAGAATCAAAGAGTTGGAAGAGACCTCATGGGCCGTCATCCAGTCCAACCCCATTCTGCCAAGAAGCAGGAATATTGCATTTAAATCACCCCTGACAGATGGCCATCCAGCCTCTGTTTAAAAGCTTCCAAAGAAGGAGCCTCCACCACACTCTGGGGCAGAGAGTTCCACTGCTGAACGGCTCTCACAGTCAGGAAGTTCTTCCTCATGTTCAGATGGAATCCAACTCTTTGATTCTATGATTCTATGTCTGTTCTTCCAGATGGGGAGGAGGAAGAGGAGGACCTGGAAGGCTACAACAAAACAGTCCCTGGCCAGCGCAGGACCCAAAAGGTAAGCCAGGCCTCCTGCTCATCAAGTCCATGTGGACTACTGTATGGCGGGACCTTTGGGTTGGTAGGTTAGTGATGGAGCTGCTACTGCTCCCAACGGAGCCGGAAATCTCATAAAAATTGAGCTGAAGCTCTGATGCTTAAAAATACTAATAAAACTTTATTTTTACCCTGCCACCATCTCTCCGAAGGGGCTCGGGGTGGCTCACCAAAGCACTCATTAGTGCAAACACACAAAATACGACAAGTGCATAAACAGTGGCACAATAGAATAACAAATGGCATAGCATCATAAAACCCCAGTGGTTAAAAAGTCAATAAAATGCAACAATAGCTGCAGATGTAAAACATGACCCTTTGTTCTGCAACCAGACCAAAAAAGGGCACCAACAGCTGTGCAAAGTGAGCACATCTTTTAACAGAGAGCCGAAAGGGGGGTGAGTTTGGAAAACTTATTGGATTTTCACACACACACACCCCTTGTTAGCACCCACTACCATAACTGGAAGTAACTGAATGGGAAAAAGTGCAATGCCAGAGTTCAAGGACAGAGCATCTGCCATGCATGCAGAAGATTTGGGGTTCAATCTTCAGGTTTGTTTGCACTGTAGAATTATTGGCTCCGTGCTATGGAATCCAGGGAGGTGAGTAGTTTGATGAGGCACCAGTCCTCTTTGGTTGAGAAGGCCAAAGGTTTTGTGAAACGACTATTCCTAGGATTTCATAGCATTGAACAATGTCAGTTAAAGTATATTTGTTCTATGTTAATTGCATTAAGATCACTCTGACCAAAAGATCATGAGTTCGAAGCCAGCCCGGGTTGGAGTGGGTTTCCAACCATTGTGTAGCCTGTTGTCGACCTTTGCAACCCGAAAGACAGTTGCATCTGTCAAGTAGGAAAATAAGGTACCACCTTAAAGTGTGGGGAGGCTAAATTAACTAATTTATGAGGCCATAAAAAAAGACTCCAGCAAGCACTCCAACAAAAAGCATGCGGGGAATGCGGAAAGTGCTTCATCAGCGTCGCAGATGGACGATGAAAGTGACAGCTCCCCTGGCGGCCAGAAAAAGTTAAATAGCCTCTGTGTATGTCTATATATGTTTGTATGTCAAAATTGGCATTGAATGTTTGCCATATATGCGTACACTGTAATCCGTCCTGAGTCCCCTGCAGGGTGAGAAGGGTGGAATATAAAAGCTGCAAACAAACAAATAAATAAATAATTCTGCAATATAATTAATAATAATAATATAATATTATAATTATATAATAATAATAATAATAATAATAATAATACTTTATTTATAGTCTGCCCTTCTCACCCCGAAGGGGACTCAGGGCGGATCACAGTACACATACACAACAAACATTCAATGCTGCTTTGTATAGATAATACACAGACAGACAGAACAGAAAGGAGGTGTGTGTTGTTTTGACTCAGTATCCAGCTGTTTTTGGTGCCATGGAAGGTTGGGCTCGAGTCCAGGGGGTGCTGTTGCTCTACCGTCTATGACAAAGAGCCATCAGGACTTCTTCCTTCCTTTTGATCACCCAGCATTTTCTGATCTTTTTTTTTTATGGCGCTGTAAAACACCTCCCCTGTCAGAGTATTGACGCTCGCCAGTGGAAGGATTGCTAGATCAGCAGACACTGTGTTCCAAAATAAGGACTCTGCAAGCTTTCATTTACAACAGAAAACTAAGTTTACTAAGTACATCTATACACGTCTATTCACAGCAGGCTTCTGAATAGACAGACAGGAACTCATAGGCAAAAACTACAGTCTCTGAACATGTGCTTATCTATCTTCTGGCTGAGACCAGTTCCTCCCTCTTCTTCCCAGCAAGAGAACATGTTATCTCAAGGTTACATTACACAGCCTCAGCACAGTATTTCTAATACACAATTGAACAGAATAGAATCCATCTTGAATTACATAGAAGCACATTGAAAAAAACACATGCATAACTAAATAATCCTGACATCCCTCCGCTTTTAGCGGTACCTAATTTCTTTAATCACAGCTAAAGCTGTTTTCGAATTGCTTTGGTAAACAATGTGCTAGGCTGACAGGTGGCAGCTCACACCAACCCGGGGCTTCAAACTTGCAACCTTTTGATTGATAAGCCTTTTAATTGCTGATGATTTACCAGCTGTGCTAAACCTCCGGTGTAGAAACACCCTTTGACATTTCCAATTGAAGGAAGCTGATGATAGGAAAATTCCTAGCCCTAAACCAGATTCCTAACAAATGGGATTTTGCCATGCTAGCCACTGCTGTGCAAATTACAATTTAGCAAGCAGTTTCTGACATTGCCCATTGTCCCTATTACAATCTATGAACTTCAAAGCATGTGCAATCCCATATATGGTCACAACATATGAGTTTTAGTTGACATACACACACATATATATTTACATTTGGTAGTGTGGTAAAATGCAGAAAGCATGCTTGAATGGACACAGTGTTGCAACTCAGAGTAGGCTTCACCTTGCTCCCAAATACCACCACACAAGAGCTGTAGATTTTGTAGTTTATTGAGGAAAAATCCAAGCCAAAACATAGAGTAAGCAATGCAAGGTTCCAAAGACAAAGGTTAAATGCAAAACACAGTCCCAAAGGTCCTCAGGTAAGAACATAAAACATAATCCTTTAAGCAATGGTCAAACAAGAGTCCATGGTAAAAACAGTGAACACAAGACCCAAGAATCACGATGCGAGCTGCTTTAGAGCTAAGGTTATTCCAAAGAAGCTTTCAGGCTAAAAGCCACGTTGAACTGACACCTTCCCCTTGTTAACCAGAAGCCTAAATACCTTTTGCCAACAAGAAAACATTACGCTCTTGCCAACATGAAACCATTACGGTGACCTTTCACCGACTTGGCTTCTTTCTTGCTGGCTAGCCACGAACTCCTCCTGACCCGCCAATCTAAACGTTCCTGCCTGCTCATTAAATCACTATCAAAGCTACTCTCTTCTCTAGCAGTATCAGCATGAGAAGGCTGAGCAAGTGAAGGCCTCTGCACCTGGTCGTTATCTAATTCGCTGACATTCTTTTCCCATGAGAACTGACTTGTAGACTTCTCTGGTGCAGTGTCTGCAAGAGGCAAAGAAATCTGAATCCCATCATCCTCTTCATCAGGGAACATTTCAGGCTCACAAGAGGGTTCAGTTTCAGGCTCAGAATCAAGCTGAGCCACAACACACAGTAGCTCCTGAGGTTGTACAAGGCAAGAAAATAGGAAGCATGGCAGGATATCAGGCAGGATCCTGACACTGTGCAGGACTCGAGTCTCCCAGCCTTTGGACTTTCATGGCTAAGGGAGTCTCCTCTTGGGAAGGTGGGCTTCACCTGCACCATGTTTCCTCTCTCCCAGTGGAACCAGCGCAATGACAAAGGCGAGACGTTGCTCCATCGCGCCTGCATTGATGGGAACCTGCGCCGTGTGCAGTTCTTTGTGGAGAAGGTAAGCTGCTGCCTTGCATTTCATCCAATGATACAATTCTAGAGCTGGAAGGGCCAAATCCAGTCCATGAAGGAAAACACAATGAAAGCCCTCCAGACAGACGCCCATCCAGTCTCTACTTCAAAACCTGACAGAAATATTTAAAAATAACTTGGTATTTTTGATCACAAAAGTGTGAGTTAAGCACTGAAAGAGTGAGTAGGCCGAAACCTGTTAAGGTCAGTGGGCCAAAGCTAGCGTTGTCCTGAGGAGAGTGAGTAGGCCGAAGCCTGTTATGGTCAGTGGGCCAAAGGTAGTGTCGTCCTGAGGAGAGTGAGTAGGCCGAAGCCTGTTAGGGTCAGTGGGCCAAAGCTAGAGTCCTGAGGAGAGTGAGTAGGCCGAAGCCTGTTAGGGTAAGTGGGCCAAAGGTAGTGTCGTCCTGAGGAGAGTGAGTAGGCCGAAGCCTGTTAGAGTCAGTGGGCCAAAGCTAGTGTCGTCCTGAGGAGAGAGTAGGCCAAAGCCCATTAGAGTCAGTGGGCCAAAGCTAGTGTCATCCTGAGGAGAGTGAGTAGGCCGAAACCTGTTAGAATCAATGGGCCAAAGCTAGTGTCGTCCTGAGGAGAGTGAGTAGGCCTGTTCGAGTCAGTATTGTATGATGTACAATGACAATAAAGTTATTCTATTCTATTCGTGGACTTGTGACGCATGATGCTCTTTCTCACCTGCCTCAGGGCCACCCTCTGAACCCCCGGGATTATTGTGGCTGGACCCCATTGCATGAGGCCTGCAACCATGGGCACCTGGGTAAGTGGTGGGGAGCCATGGGAATGGGGGATTTCTACTGCTGATGGCTATGCATTGCAGAGAACACATCAGGCTCACAACTGCACTGGATCCCAATTTGACCACCCAGTTTGCTTATCTGTAACTGTTTCCTCGAGTGGTAGTCTGTGAAATTCGCACATCCCCGCCCATCCTCGCAGTGGTCATGCTTTTCTCTATAGCTGCAGGCACTTTTCTTTGTTTACAAAGCACTTTTTAACATCTACATGAAACCGCTGGGAGAGGTCATCCGGAGTTTTGGAGTTGCGTGCCATCTCTACGCAGATGACACGCAACTCTACTACTCTTTTCCACCTAATTCCAAGGAAGCCCCTCGGGTGCTGGACGAGTGCCTGACCGCTGTGGCTGTCTGGATGAGGAGGAACAAGCTGAAGATCAATCCCGACAAGACAGAGGTCCTCCTGGTCGATCGTAAACCGGATCAGGGTATAGGTTGGCAACCTGTGTTGGACGGGTTTGCACTCCCCCTGAAGCCACAGGTCCGCAGTTTGGGGGTCCTCCTGGACTCATCACTTACGTTTGAGGCTCAGCGGTGGCCGGGAGGGCCTTTGCACAATTAAGACTTGTGCTCCAACTAGGCGGATCTGGCCAGGGTGGTCCATGCCTTAGTCACCTCCAGATTGGACTACTGTAATGCACTCTACGTGGGGCTGCCCTTGAAAACGGCCCGGAATTTTCAATCGGTTCAACGGGCGGCAGCCAGGTTGTTAACTGGTGCTCCTTACAAGGAGCGGTCATTTGGCCCAGCCATAGGTTTTTAAGCATTGTTGTGCTATTGTTAATGTTTACTGCTCGTTTTTTGTTTAGGAGTTTCATTTTATTGTTTTGTATTGCTGTTGTTGTTTTTGCTGATGGTATTGTAGGCTCGGTCTTATGTAAGCTGCACCGAATCCCTTGGGGAGATGGTAGCGAGGTACAAATAAAGTATTATTATTATTATTATAAACCACTTGGTTCCTCTTCGTGGAGTCTGTGAAAGACGCACATAATGGGTTTTAGTTCTGCGCATGCACAGCTATTCGGAACCTTCTAGAACAGTGTTTCTCAACCTGGGGGTCGGGACCCCTGGGGGGGTCGTGAGGGGGTGTCAGCGGGGTCGCTAAAGACCATCATAAAACACAGTATTTTCTGTTGGTCATGGGGATTTTGTGTGGGAAGTTTGGCCCAATTGTATCATTGGTGGGGTTCAGAATGCTCTTTGATTGTAGGTGAACTATAAATCCCAGCAACTACAACTCCCAAATGTCAAGATCTCTTTTCACCTAACTCCACAAGTGTTCACATTTGGGCATATTGAGTATTTGTGCCAAGTTTGGTCTATATCCATCATTGTTTGAGTCCACAGGGCTCTCTGGATGTAGGTGAACTACAGCTCCAAAATTCAAGGACCCAGCAAACCCTTCCAGTATTTTCTGTTGGTCATGGAAGTTCTGTGTGTCAAGTTTGGTTTAATTCCATTGTTGGTAGAGTTCAGAATGCTCTTTGATTGAACTATAAATCCCAGCAACTACAACTCCCAAATGACAAAATCAATCCCCCCCCCCCACCTCAGCAGTATTTAAATTTGGGTGTATGAGGTATTTGTGCCAAATTTGGTCCAATGAATGAAAATACATCCTGCATATTGGATATTTACAATTCATAACAGTAGCAAAATTACAGTTACAAAGTAGCAACTAAAATAATTTTATGATTGGGGGGTCACCACAACATGAGGAACTGTATTAAGGGGTCACGGCATTAGGAAGGTTGAGAAACACTGTTCTAACTTAAATAAACAAAAGACAAAATTCCTAGTCAAAAACATGAGTAAGGAAAATGAAAACACTTTGCAAAAAATAACGGGGATACAAACAGTCAGCAAGATAAAATACTTAGGAATCAACATTTCTAAAAGCAATGCAGCTTTAATAAAAAACAATTATGTAGTGCTATGGGAGAAAATCCAAAAAGATATGGAAAAATGGGGAAAGAAAAATTTCTCTTTCCTGGGCAAAATCGCTTTAGTCAAAATGATAATACTACCAAAACTACTTTTTCTCTTTCAAACAATACCGGTAATCAGGAATAATTTTCTCTTTAAAAAATGGAACTCAGATATCTCTAAATTCATATGGGCAAAAAAAAAACCAAGAGTAAGCTATAAAATTTTAACAGATGACATTAAACGAGGAGGCCTGGGCCTACCCGACCTAAGAAGTTATTACGAAGCATGTAATTTGGCAGCTATAAAAGACTGGACTACACTTAAAAATGATCATGTACTAGCTTTAGAAGGCCACGATTTAAGAGCGGGGTGGCACAGTTACATTTGGTATGATCAAAGGAAAATAGAAAAAAACTTCACAAACCACTTCATTAGAGCTGCTTTAATTAAGACGTGGGAAAAATATAAAAACAGATTCTTTAGACACACCCCGCTCTGGATCTCGCCAGTCGAGGCAAAACACAAGAAAGAATTAGGGACGGAAATTTGGCTAACCTATAACCAGATTCTGAAGAAGAACGAAGAAGGGAAAATAATACCTAAATCCCATCAGGAACTCCAAAAGCTAAATCCAAAAATTACATGGCTAAACTACTTTCAAATCAAGGAAATATTTATAAAAGACGGGAAAGTTGGATTTGAACAAGAAAGGGGAATATGGGATATAGTCATGGAGAAAAACAACAAAATAATAAAACTATTGTACAAACAATTACAAATATGGAACACGGAGGAAGAGCAAATAAAAGAATGTCAAATAAAATGGGCCCAAGATTTAGGACATAGCATCACGATAGACCAGTGGGAAGAAATCTGGACAAAAAAAATCAGATACACAGTGGCAAATGATATAAAAGAAAATTGGTTCAAAATGTTTTACAGATGGCATTATACGCCAGTAAAAATAGCAAAATTTCAAAAGAAAAATCAAAAAAAAAATTCGGATAAATGCTGGAAATGTGAAAGGAAAGCAGGCACCTTCCTCCATCAATGGTGGGAGTGTGAGGAAATAAAGAAATTTTGGAAAAAAATACATCAAGCAACACAAAAAATTATCAAATTGAAATTCCCACAAAGCCCAGAGTCCTATTTACTAGGGATAACAATGGAGACCAAACTGAACAAAAATCAAGATAAAATTTTATTTTTATTAAGTACAGCAGCTAGGTTAGTGATAGCCAAAAAATGGAAACAAAAAGACACACCAACATTAGAGGATTGGATTACAAAATCACTTGATATAATACAAATGGACAACTTGTCCCAAAGAATAAACGGAGCAACCAGAAAAACAGACTGGACCGGCTTTAAAGACTACTTGAAAACAAGAGACATCTCAATAACAATAGACTTAACAAATTTTTAGAAGAAAGAAGGAAAACAAATATTGTCAGTGCAGATAGGACGAAGAGAAATACGACGGAAAAGAAGACTCTTGGAAGGACCCTGGGAAGTCAACACTAAGGACAAGATCTTTTGGTGGTGGGCCCTCACCTCTCCCTCCTCCTCTTTTACACTTCCCCCCACAGATTTCCCCTAAACTTTCCTCCCCCACCTCTCCTCCCCCACATTCCTTTATCATCCTCCTCCCCCCACCACACTCCCCGAACGAGGTTGTAAAAATGAAACTCAATAAAAATTTATTAAAAAAAAAAAAAAAAAGAGAAACACTGTTCTAGAATCTTGTAAAAGAAACATTTTGGCGGAGGCCCCACCCACTCTCCCCAATACTATAAATGCCCACGGCTGGGACTGCGTCTTAGCAGCAGCTATAGAGAAAAGCATGGCCACTACGGGGAGGATGGGCGGGGATGTGCGAATTTCATAGACTACCATTCGAGGAAACACAGTTACAGGTAAGCAACTCGTATTTTACCCCCAAATCTCAGCTCTCATTGCCTTCGGACTGCTTTCTCTAAAAGCTCACTGTCAAGATGTATTTATTTACTTACAGCTTTTCTATTCCGCCCTTCTCCTCACCCCGCAAGGGACTCAGTGTACACATATATGGCAAACATTCAATGCCAATTTTTGACATACAAACATATACAGACATACACAGAGGCTATTTAACTTTTTTCTGGCCGCCAGGGGAGCTGTCGCTTTCCTCGTCGATCTGCGACGCTGATGAAGCACTTCCGCATTCCCCGCATGCTTCCCCGCTGGAATGCTTTGCTGGAGTCTTCTTTCTGGCCTCATAAATCAGTTAATTTAGCCTCCCCACACTTTAAGGTGGTACCTAATTTTCCTACTTGACAGATGCAACTGTCTTTCGGGTTGCAAAGGTCGACAACAGGCTACACACAATTGGTTGGAAACCCACTCCAACCCGGGCTGGCTTTGAACTCATGACCTTTTTGGTCAGAGTGATCTTAACGCAACTGACACTCAGCCAGCTGCGCCACAATCCCGATGTCAAACGAAATCCAAATCCCACCAAAGAGCAATGCTTTTATTGGCCAAACCATATGTACAAAGCACATCACTTTTCACTGCTTGATGGGCCAAGTCAGGCCCGTTTCTCGCTTAGACCCAAGTACCACTTATGGACAAAGTTGGAAGTATAGAAACAGAAAAGCAGGAACATCTCTCCACCAATTTATATAGTTCATTGACTGAAAAAGCATCAATATATAAAATCAACTGGAAAGAATTACAGGGAGCCACATTTTCCAAAATCCAGTTCTCAAAGGGACAGAAAGTGAGGTGAACTCTCCTGATCAGGGGCACAGACAGCAAAAGAAACACCAGAAGGTCGTTGATCCTTCCCTATGCTATACAAACCTAAAATATATCTGGAGTTACACTTAGACAATATACCTGTTCTGACTTACACACAAATTCAATTTAAGAACAAACCTACATAACCTTTGGGTTGTTGTACATGGGGCCAAGCCCGAACAACATATTACATCAAAATAAAACCAAACATAAACAACAAGCCTAGTGTCCTTGGAAAAACTATGAATTTCCTGATTTTGAACTATCATTTACAGAGTCCTGGGGGGTCACCTCTAATCACACCAGGAGGTTGGGGCTGCTTTCCCCAGGTGGCCTGAAGTGTGACCCTGTTGTTGCCTTTCCTGCAGAGATTGTGCGCCTGCTTCTGGACCACGGGGCGGCCGTCGACGATGCCGGTGGCCCTGGCTGCGAGGGCATCACGCCCCTCCATGACGCCCTCAACTGCGGCCATTTTGACGTGGCCGAGATGCTGGTCGAAAGGGGAGCCTCGGCGCTGCTGCGTGATGGCAAGGTGGGCCAACAGTTGGCAAGGGACCAGGGCAGGGCAGGGGATGATTTGGAATTTAGACCACAATTCAATGAGAGAGTTCAGCCTGGTGAGCATTTATGCCAACTATAGGTAATAACTAAAGTTCCAGATTAAGAAACTCACCAGCAAAGCAAAGGCCTAGGACAGAGGCATTTGTTTCCATCTTGCAAGATGTGACACCTGTGGGCTCCTGCTCCAAAATTGCAAGCATAATGAGGATGTGCTCTGCACAACAGTTTGATACAACCAGGTCCATTGTTTCAGTTTGAATTCCCACACGGCCAGGTGGAGATGTCTTCACCTCCTTTGCCTTCCCATGGTGATACAGCCCAGCTGGTAAACCAAGTTAAGGGGTTAGAGAGCCTTGAAGATAATGAATTAATGAGCAGGCAGGATCGCCTGCAATTAAGGGTCCGGAGAAGTTCTTGCTTAGCTAGTAAACGAGAAGCCAAGTCGGCCAAAGGTCATCGCAATGCATTCATGACTGCAAAGGGTATTTAGTTTGTGGAGCAATATTTGCTATCTCTAGCAGTGTGCAGCGTAACTGATCACAGAGTCATAGAGTGGGAAGAGACCTGGTGGGCCATCATCCAGTCCAACCCCATTCTGTCAAGAAGCAAGAAAATTGCATTCAAAGCACCCTTGACAGATGGCCACCCAGCCTCTGTTTCAAAGCCTCCAAAGGAGGAAGCTTCTACCCAGAGTGTGGTGATATTATTATTATTATTATTATTATTATTATTATTATTATTATTATTATTATTTGAAACACAGCAAGATGAGTCCACAGCAGACACTCTGCTGGCTGTTGTATAATAATAATAATAATAATAATAATAATAATAATAATAATAATAATAATAGTCAGGAAGTTTTTCCCCATGTTCACGTGGAATCTCCTTCCCTTCCTGTCATTTGAAGCCATTGCTCCATTGCATCCTAGTCTCCAGGACAGCGGAGCACAAGCCTGCTCCCTCCTTCCTACGACGTCCCCTATGATGCTATGTATGAGCTTATGGTATAAAATGGGAGAGGTAACACCTAGGAGACTCTGGTATTATTATTATTATTTGAAACACAGCAAGATGAGTCCACAGCAGATACTCTTCTGTTGAATTGGATTCCACGTCGGACACTTCCCCAGTGTCGAGGACTGTGTGATGTATCAAAGAATAATGCGTGCCGATCCCAGTAAGGTGGCCTTCTGCAGCTGGAAGATGTTAATTTTGTCAGCGCCGATTGTGTTTTAGTGCAGGCCAAGGTCTTTAGGTACTGCACCCAGTGTGCCAATCACCACTAGGAACACCCTGACTGGCTTGTGCCAGAGTCTTTGAAGTTCAATCTTTGAATCTTCGTATCGTATCAGCTTTTCCAGTTGTTTCTCTTCAATACTGCTGTCGCCTGGAATTGCGAAATCGACGATCCATACTCTGTTTTTTAA